GTAGTATCTACTTTACCTGTTGTAAATCTGTGATCAATAAGAAATAAGCTAAGTCTTTCGTACCATGCTCATGGAGCTTGTTTCAGTCCATACAGCACTTTGGTCAGTTTATACACATGGTAGGGAAACTTTGAATCTTCAAATCCAGGAGGTTGTTTCATGTATACATCATCTTCAATGAAACCATTCAAAAAAGCACTTTTAACATCCATCTGGAACAGCCTGAATCTTTTAAAGGATGCATATGCAAGAAGAATTCATATGGATTCCAGTCGAGCTACTGGAGCGAAGGTTTCGTCATAGTCGACTCCTTCTTGTTGAGAGTATCCTTGAGCAACTAATCTGGCTTTATTTCTCACAACTTTTCCATCCTCATTCAGCTTATTTCTAAAGACCAATTTTGTTCCAATTACGGGAGCATTTTCAGGCTTGGGCATCCGTTTCTATTCTTGATTTTTGTCGAATTGATCTAGCTCTTCCTGCATTGATTGCAACCAGCTTGAGTCTTTCAAAGATTTCTCTATTTTCTTTGGCTCAGTCTGGGAAATCAGTGCTATGTTAGCTTTCTTCTTGAGAACTCCCCTACTTTTCATTCCTTCACTTGGATTCCCTATGATGAACTTTTGAGGATATACCGGTTCACTTCTCCATTCATTTGGACGAACTGTATAAGTAGTTGACTCCTCTGGAGGTTCTGATTGACTGTTGCTACTCTCATTAGTTGACTCTACTACACTGTCAAGTTTATTTAGTCGACTCTTAAGATTTGCTTGTCTCCTGATTTACCTGTGTTTGATCTTCATCAACTGTAGTAATTCCTTTCTCGATCGAAGTGTTATTCTCATCAAAGATAACATGTACTGACTCTTCTGCATACAATGTGCATTTATTATAAACTCTAAAAGATCTACTATTCAATGAACAACCCATAAAAATACCTTCGTCACTTCTTGGATTGAATTTTCCAAGATTTTCCTTACCATTATTATGAATGAAACACTTGTTTCCAAAAGGATGAAAGTAACTTATATTGGGTCGTTTACCATTCCACAGTTCATAGGGAGTCTTCCTCAGGATGGGTTTTATGAGATATCGATTGAGGATGTGACAAGCTGAACTTACTCCTTCTGCCCAGAAGTGATTTGGCAGTGAATATTCTAGTATCATAGTTCTTGCCATATCATGTAAAGTCCTGTTTTTCCTTTCAACAAATTCATTCTGTTGGGGTGACCTTGGAGCAGAGAAGTTGTGAGTGTATCCTTGATCGTTGCCAAAATCTTCAAATTATCTGCTTTCAAATTCTCCTCTGTGATCACTTTGAATAGTTGTAATAAGACATCCCTTTTCTCTTTCGACCTTTTTACAGAAGGTCTCGAAAATTTCCAAAGCTTCATCTTTGTGAGATAGAAAAATACCCAAGTAAAACATGAGTAATCATCAACAATAACAAATGCATATCGTTTTTCTCTTGTGCTAACAGTTCTAGTAGGTCCTAATAAGTCCTAATGAAGTAATTGCAAGGGTTTAGAAGTGGATACAACATCTTTTGAAAGAATTTCTAGTTTCTTTACCAATCTGATATGTATCACACACATGATTTATAGAAAAAATGAGTTTGGGTAAACTAATAACTAAATCATGCTTGGAAAGTTTTTCTATCAAATGCATGCTTGCATGACCAAGTTTCTTATGCCATAACCATGGCTCATCAGATATGGACGTTAAGTAAATATGACCATCTATATTTTCAAAACCATCAAGAATATAGACATTTCCATACCTTTTACATGGGAGGATTATTTTACCTATCTCATCTTTAATAGCACAACCTGTTTTCTTGAACTTTACTTTATACCCTGAGTCACATAGCTGACTTATACTCAGAAGGTTGTAGTTAAGTCCGTCAACAAGATAAACTTCAGTGATATCACAGTTATTATTGAAAGGAATTGTTCCGGTACCGACTATCTTTCCTTTTGAATCATCACCAAATTTAACATTTCCTCCATCTATTTTTGTAACTTCTTTAAATAGGTTTTTGTCACCTGTCATTTGACTGGAACACGCACTATCCAACGATCATTTTCCTTTGCGACTCCTTCTGTGGTGTTCCTGCAAAACATAATTATCACTTCCTTTTAGGTACTCATGCTTGCTTGGGTCCTTGTTGGTTAGTATTACTAGATTCAGGATTGTTTTGGGGTTTCCAAATCCATCCTGATACATTTGACTTACGAAATCGACAAAAAAAATATTTATGTCCATTTTTATTACAGTAGTGACACATAGGACTTGATCCATTTTTGGTTCTCCCATTTATGTCAGTACTAGTGGACTCTGTTCTAGCTGGTCCTTTTCCAGTTGACTTGTAAGTTGCCTGGTTCGACTTTATAGAACTATGATTGGTTGATTTGTGCATCCCATTGAGTTGCATTTACAATTCATCAACTTCATCTTGAAGTACTTCTTTTTCAATTTTGCATACTTCAAGCTAGCATTTCTAGTCTTTTATTTCTCTGTTGAGTCTCTTTATTTCATTCATCATCTTTTGAGACTCTTCCAAAGTAAGGTCAAGAATATCCTGCAATTCATTATATCTTTCACAGTTAAAAGGTCTTACCTCACTTATTTCACCTCGTGCCATGAAACAATTCTCGTTGTCATCTTTGCAATCATCATCTGAGATATCCTCGTCTTTCAAGCACCCTGAGAGCTTGTTCATGTTATTTTCCAAAATTGTCATGAAGCATAGATTTGCTATCTCTTCATGTTCAGAACTGTATTCATCACTCCAGCTTCCAAATGATTTGTTCTTATTAAACCCTCTGGAGGCTTTTCTTTTAAGCTCAGGACATTCAGCTTGAACATGCCCAAATCTTCCACATTCATAACATTTGCCATCATTTTTGTCTTGTTCATTGTATTGCCTAGTTTTCTTGGGTGGTATTCTGCCTATTTTTGTATTCCTGTATCTCCTCATTAAACCATCCATGTTCCTTGATACTATGGATTTTTCTTCTTGAAGAGCTCCAAGGTCATCATCAATATCATTGTCTGTTCTTTCAGTTGTAACCTTGAAAGTAGTTATTTTATTCTTCTCTTCTTGAATTGTTTTCTTGAGATGAGTTTTCTCGAAAGCTATAAGTTCTCCTCGAAGTTCATCATATGATAATTTGTTCAAATCATGTGACTCAAGAGTAACTATCTTTGTCTGCCAAGTAGTGGGAAGACTTCTCAGAATTTTCCTAACTTGATCACCATTTGAGTAGGGTTTGCCAAAAGCTTTTAGATCACTGATGATTTTGCTAAATCTGGCAAACATTTCTTCAATAAATTCTCCTTCTTTCATTTGGAAAAGTTCGTAGTCATGGACCAACATGTTGATATGGGTTTCTTTCACTTTACTGGTTCCTTCATAAGTGACTTCAAGTTTATCCCACATCTCTTTGGATGTATCACAACTGGAGATTTTCTCGTAATCCCCACCGCTTATAGCATTATAAAGTAGATTCTTTGCTTTAGCATTAACTTGCACAACCGCCATATTTTTATCAGTATATTCATCTATATCTTCAAGATTAGCGGATGGTTGAGAAGCAGCCGGTAATGGGTAAGTCCCCTTTTTGATAACTCTCGAAACCTTGACATCATAAGATTTTGCATATATTTCTATACGCACTTTCTAGTGAGAGAAATGTTGTCCATTGAAGTATGGTGGCCTCACTTGCGATGTTCCTTCTTGAAAGAGCGCTCCGATAATAACTTGATTTGTCATGATCTTTTCTCACAAGTTGTTAAGCAAAAGAAAAGGTGTGAGCCTTGCTCTGATACCAATTAAAAGTACAAAGGGAGGGGGGGTGAATTGTTTATTTTTATATTTTAATAGCTACTAATTGACTAGTTTTCTAATTAGTCGACTAGATGTAATAACAAGATAATAAGAAGAGCATAAATTAAGTTGCAGAAATAAAGTGCAGGAACTAAAGACATCGGAATTTTTATACTAGTTCGGATTCAATGTGAATCCTAGTATAGTCCCCTTGGGTTGCAAGGGAGTTCTCTTTCAGTGAATGGTGTGGTTTACACCAATGGCTCAGTTTCTATGTCACTCGTTTCTTTTTTATACAATGCCTCACAAGTATTTTTCTCTGTTTCTTCTCTAACTTGTTACACAACAGATCTAATAGAGCTACAATGTTTGTTTGCAGTAGAACAAAGAGAGGGTATTTGGTTCGATGAATGTATATTTTTCTAAGGCTTAAGGATGTGTATAAATACTTTATAAGAGGCCGTTGCTGAAGAGATTTTCCAACTCGAGAGATTTGATCCTTGGAAATAGATTGATTCTTTCCAAGAATAAGGTTATTTGTCGTTGCTCTTCCTTGATGAAAGGACTTTAATAGCTTTCCTTTTATAGGTCTTGATAGCGCCGGATTTACTCCATGATTTTTGGTCCTTCCAGTAATAGCAACTAGATTGATTATCTTGCAAGATCTTCGATACTTCTTTTCCGCCTTAATCAATCTCGGATTGATTTTCTTGTCTTTGATTGACTTCTTCAATCTTGGATGCTTTCCTTGAGTTCCTTTAATTGATTCCTTCAATCTTGGATAATTTTCTTGAGTCCTTATACCAAGAGCAATTATATTATTTTCATCATTAAAACTAAAACCTAACATAACCCCATCACAATGATGGACTTTTAAAAACAATTGAAGAACTATGATATTTTCAGTGAAGAAGATGCTTTTATTTGTAATAAAATAAAAAAAATAGGGACAATATTTAAAGACCAGTCCTTTAGGGATGACCGGTGCAATTTGACATCCTCCAACAACAAACCAAATTGACCCAACATCCTAAAAGCCCAAGCTGTAAGCCCAACATAGATCAAAACCGTAAAGATTGCACGGGGCACCCTATTTGGTCGCCCCCATTTAACCTATACCCATATTGTTAAAATTCTTTAACATATACCCTAATTTTGACAACATCAGACACCTCCTCTTCTTCCTCCTGACCTATGCGCTCCTTTCTTCCTCCTCTTCTTTTTCTCTTCTTCTTTTCTCTCTCAAACACATAAGACTTTGTATAAGTATCATTAATTGGATCTGTAAAGTTTTTATTAAATCTTATCAACTACCATATTCTATGTTGAAGGACGAGTAAATAAAACTCCACAAGCTGGTTAAAGTAGGTGTGATTTGTGTCTTTTCCTGATCTATCCTTCTTAATCATACAACAGTAACTAACTACTACATGTCATCTCTTCCAAGTTACCTGCCACAAGAATGGCACATGCATGTGAAATTTATTTTACACAATAGTTGTGCTCGTGATCTCTTGGAATTAGCTTACCCCTTGCTTTATGATATCATCTGCCGGGAAAAACGACAGAAAAGGGCTGCAGAACTGAAAAATAAAAGATAATAAAAATAACTTCAGAACATTATCAAAAAAATCAGTTAAAACTTCAACTCAATTTGGCTTAAGTTATATTTTAAAGCCATCTAACTTCAAAGAAAGGCAGAACATAACTTCAGCTCTAAGACTACTGAAGTTTAGCAAATATAAAACAAAAACTTCAGCTCTTAGAATGTTGAAGTTCAGCAAATATAAAACAAAACAGCAGCTCATAGAATGCTGAAGTTCAGCAATTACAAAATAAAACTTCAGCTCCTAGAATGCTGAAGTTCAGCAATTACAAAACAAAACTTCAGCTCCTAGAATGCTGGTTCAGCAATTACAAAACAAAAACTTCAGCCAAAACATGTTGTAGTTTTATTGAACTGAAGTTTGCCATTGCACTATAAACTGAAGTTTGCGTGATTGCCTTTGCAAGTCAGGCCAAACTTCAGGCAAAAATATCTGAAGTTTTGCTTTGATAAGGCTACACTTCAGGAAAAATATTCTAAAGTGCAAACTTCAGACATAAATCTTTGCTATTTAAGGCCCGTATGTCTGAAGTTACCCGAAAAGTGGGTACGCTTGCAATTTTATTTTTGCAAAGTGGGTATAAGTTAAAATGTGACCCAAAAACTGGGTATAAATTCAAATCCCCCATCAAAACCCAACTAAAAGACTAGATCACCCAGACCTACTGAAAACTTGTAAGCCCATATGCTCTAAACCCAAACACATAAACCGATTAGAAATCAAAAGATACCCAAATATGAGTTAGTTGAGAGTGTAAGGTTTATAGCCTATTTGGCCAAGTTTCTCCAAGCCAAAAGCACTTTTTGTTTTATAGCCTATTTGGCCAAGTTTCTCCAAGTCAAAAGCACTTTTTGTTTTTTTAAAAAAAAGTGATTTTGTCCCAAAGTTGAAGTGTTTGGCCAAGCTTTTAGAGGAAAAAAGTACTTTTGAGAAGAAGTATAAAAAAATAATTTTTCTCCAAAAGTATTTTTTTTGAAAAGCACTTTTGAAAAAAATACACTTAGAAGAAGTTTTTAAAAGCTTGGCAAAACACTAATTGCTGCTCAGAAGTGCTTTTTAAGTGAATTAGCCAAACACAAACGCTTCTCACCAAAAGTACTTTTGAAAAAAACACTTCACAAAATAAGCTGATTTTTGCAGCTTGGCCATATGTGCTATTAATCCTATAGTTTGATGTCTTCATTCGTTTGTTCTTATTTTTCTTACTTTCTTCATTAACTAGTAGGGTGAAGCCCATGCTATGCACGGGCCCAACATGATATTATGGCAAACAAAGTAAAATTACATAGAATCAGCAACATAATTTGGTTAATGAATTAAGAAGCTTGTTCAAACTAAATGCAGTACCATATAAAAACATAAACGGCATCGAATCTAGCAAATTCCAAAGCAACATGCTATGAAAAGCTAATTTGTACAAAGATCAAACAGTTTTGAGTCTCCACCTGCAGTAGAAGCAACAGGTTAAATGGGTATTTAGGAATCTGATGGTCCATGGCTAAATGTTTTATACAAATAACAGTGACCTCATAAAGCTTTATAGATCAATATCATAGAACAAAAGTAACATTAAGATGCTTTCCAGCGAACATCTATAAGTCAGTCTTAATGAGATAAGAATAACAAAGCATCTACAAAATTCTTAGAACGATAAAAACAAATCTACATTAGAACCAAATAAGGCAAAACCATAAAAGTCTGTTGGCATAACGTAAACTGCCATAATTAGAAAGATCGTTGGACGGAGAAACTAAACTCAACTTATCATCCTATTTAGATGTATTCAATACAAATTATTCATAAATAGTATACTCTGCAAAAATTCCAAGATAATGAAGTGAAATACAAATTAGAGTTTAATACAGCAAAATCATAACAAATTAGAGTGATTCTTGGCCGGAAAAAGTAAAGTTCGCTTGTCGTAAATTGATTGACTCCTATGGCGATGTACTTGCTTTCCTCGCATGAGAGACAGATATATTGTGCACTCAAGATGATGAATGCCAAACAATATGTTTCATTCATATTATATTTTTTGTTACACGGGAAACATTCAACTAAAAGAATGTGGTTAATCAAATCCTTAGCCATCATAAAGCAAGCATGTACGAAGAAATTGAACTACATTAACATAATTTTAAAAAAAGCTTACATCAGCAAAAGCCCTCTGAGAGTTAGCTTCAGTGGTGTTCTGCGACAAAAATGGCACTTATTAGACCGTCCAATACAGTTTTTTTGTAAGACTCAGTATTCCAAACATGTAATTAAAGATCAGATATCATTCCGGACATGCAGGTAAAAATCTAGCAAGAAATTATTAAAAAGAACGGAAAAATTAATATCCAATGGAAGATTAGTAACAAGCAAAATCAGGAGACAGAAAAGAAGGGCAAATCTCAAAGATGTAGGTTAAACACTAAAAGAAAAAAGAAGAAATAAAAACACAGAAGGATTGAGAAACTTACACAGAGATGGGTGTACACTTCAAGTTACGTTTGGTACTATTTTATGATGCAGTGTTGGTAGACTTTCCCGCGGCACTTTAGTCATGATTCTATCAAGTCTTCGTCTTTGTTATGGTAAGAAATTTCTGAAAGAAATTGTATTTTTGTGACACAAATTAAATTTCTCCAGCAATTCTGGAGAAGCAGTCAAGAAACAGGATAGTGTTGGTGGTATTTTTTATAAAATATATGTATAAAGGCGAAAAGTTACTTCTTCCCAGAATTACAGGATATCCTTCATTTTTTTCAATTTTTCCCGAAAGCTCGGTTCCTTCAATGTCAGCAAAGTCCTCCCATAAAGTGAGCAAAAACTACTTTTTTTCTGCCAATGGAGAGAATGTGTTACTAAATTATTGAATATCTATCGTAAGGATATATCTACGTGTTGGAAAGAAAAGTAAGTGTATATATATTGTAAAAATATTGTACTTACTGATTGTCTATAACAGTAATCTCCCGGCACCTATTTGAAGAATGGCCTACATATTTTAGATAGCCACAACGGACGACGACTCCTAGTATATCTGCTTGGGGGAAAATAGAATGATCTTTCTAGAGCGAAGAAATATAATAAGGGGAATATATTTATTCTATAGAAGCCAAATATTTCATCAAGGTAAACGTAACAGATGATACGGGTGAATAACCAATTTCTGTAGCAATGTGTGGAGTCATATGAGCAATGTGGTCGAAAGAAGTGATATTCAACTTCGCCGGTGGTAGTAGTGGTTTCTCACTCACATTGTTTGGCTCAATATGTTCCACTATAGTCTAGCGATTAAGCACCCAATAAAATTTGTATATTGGTGGATTTCATTGGAGATTAGATATGTGTGGAAGAGTTTAAGCTTGTCGGCATAATACGAAATGACATCGCCATACACAACTCCCTGAATTTGTTGCTCCTGTAAAGTGTCATATTTTTTGTTACAAATGCAGTAAAATTATAATAGTATAAAGTTGAATATATGTTGTTGTTGTAGACATAATTACCTCTTCATCCTCGAAAATCAGATTTTAAAATCTAACTTTTTTCTCGGGACCCTCTCGTTCTCGACCTTTGTCGACAATTTGGACCTTACATATCCAATCCGGTGTATCAGTTGTTATTTGATTGATGTTGCCTTTTAGTGCCATGATATCCTGGTAAAAAATAATAAAATTCTTGAGAAAAAGAGGATGATTGCAAAATCAGGAGCAATGACTGACATGCAAGCACAAATTTAGTGGAAAATCAAAAAATCAAATAAAAGTCGAATGTGTTCAACAAAGGAGTATTTTTAGTACGTTATGCTTTTTGCCAAAATTTCATTTCAACTAATCAGTTCGTTCACACGTTCACTAATATTAGCAAACTATGAATCAAAAGAAAACCTATGCAAAATATCAATCAAAAGAAAACCTGTGCACATCGTATGCCTCTATCCCCATCTCAATTGAAAGAACAACCTAACCACTAAATTTTTTGACTATGCAACATGAGTTTCTACTGTGTTAAATTTACCTATGCTTGATTTTATAATCCAAGTTTTATGAATATACGAAGATCTAATTCTCATGACTATTTGTCATGTTGCCTAAAAGATAGATCACTTTACTGCATTACGGAACTCAAGAGATGTTAAAATAATTTTTCAATTATGTCAGGCATATTATCAAACACTTGAGTACATCACTGTGCAAAGGAAACACCACATAAAAAGCATAATGAATCAGCCAGTATCTACACTTGTAATGTCACATGAAACAGGTGGAAAGCACTCCAGAAGAGTTTAATCAAAGGAAGATTTATACTTATAAAATTAAAATAAAAATACGGTCTTTGGTTAATCAAAGCCTTATGTCACGGGCTCATTTTCTTACGCTCGCCAGCGGCACCAAATTGCCCCCGCGGCGCCTGCAGTTCCCCTCACTGCAGGCCAACCTATATCCTTTCCCAGGTTTTCAAGCACGACCATGTGCATGTGGTGAAGCCTGCCTGGAAGGCATGCTCCAACTTGTGCCGCCCGTAAGATATCTAGGCTCCTGGCCTCGACATGTCGTGGCGCTTCTCATCCTAAGATCATAATCCATGCGCGCCCTGGGGGTTGGCTAAGGACATGTCTTGTCCTTCACCTAAGACTGAGCATCGCTCTCGCGTGCACAACCCAATCCTTAAGCTTGACACTCGCCTCCTGCATCCACACCCAGCTTGTGCCTCGTCCGAGTAAGTCAACCTTTAGTCCTTGGACATTGTCATGTGCGTCTTTCGTGCCATGCCCATACATAGACCTCACGATACACTTCCATCCCGTCTAGTGCACTGTCGCCCCACAACTGCACGTTTAGGCCAACCGACCATTGCTCGCATGGCTGAACCCAAGCCATGCTCACAGGTCGACACATGATGCCCCTAAGATAGGTGCATCAAGTATCCAATCGGCACGGAGGTCTTTGTCCAACATTTCGGTAGCCCGTGGTGCATACCTGTCCCACATATCAACCTCCAGCGCTCGTTTGGTGCCCAACGCTAGCCCGAAGGCGTCGCGTCGTCCATAGAGTTCCCTAACTCGTATGGATACCTAGGACACTCCTTTGAGTCATCCAGGCAGGCTCTTTAGGTTCCCCTCAAGGTATCTCATTAGATACGGCTTGGTGGCAGCACGTGTGGGGGAGGCAGGTTGAGCTTTCAACACCTATACCCCCGTTATTTACGCTTAAAATTAAAAAGCCTAAGTTTCCTGAGCACACAGGGCTACGCCAGAGAATCAGAAGAGCCTTTTCTTACCAGTTCTGACGGAAGTCATAATCCTAAAGTGCGGGTTGTGACATCCTCCCACACTCATTCTGTCATCGTCCCCGATGACACATCATGGCCTACGACATCCCGGAGTCTGCCCCCTCAGGTATGTACTTCGCGGCTCCCTTTGTCCTGTGGGTTGGACTTCCTCGAAGTCCTGCTCAAAAGGAGTCGTGACCCATGCAGTTCTCCCCCGAGTATCTTCTAAGCATGCCTCTGCACTTCACCTCCTTTCAGTGTTCACTTGGAAAGTTCCTCCGTACTTGCACCCTCTGGTGTCTAACTTTGTAATTGACCTACACTAGTCAATCACACAATGACCCTCACGGCCTTTATGTCCGTCTGAAGTTTTTTCTTCAATGGTAAGCACATCAACGTGCTCTTTGGCTCGACTCTCATAGCTCAATCGCTCACATAGCCTTATCACCCCCTCCGACATAGCTCTTGTAGACTTTCACTCCCGTAGCTTTTCCTTTTGCCCTCAGTACCTTTGAAGATGTGTTTTCTTCCGGACTCACAACTTTGCCATAATGCCTCTTGCATAGGCGGGATCCTCCCACACACAATGTGGAGGATACTTCTTAGCGCACACATCCCACTTGGCATTCGGCCAGCTCTTGGGATGTCTCTTGGTGAGTACTATATTCTCAAAGCCATAGCATCGCCGCATTCCCGAACAAAGCACTTTGTTTTCCTCTCCCTCTGTGCCACTGAAAGGTGGCAGCTGGAGTCTCCCAAACCTCTCCAACCTACGCTGATCATCCAAAGGCATTGCAGGAACCACATAATCCTGTGCAGCTGCAACCAACTGGCTGGTGGTGCCCCCTATGTTTGGAGTCCCTGAACAACCTGCTTGGGTGTGCGAGCGACGGGAGTTTGAGTACCTGTGCCTCTCCCGGCCTGAGAAGTGGTTGCGGTCGTCCAGATAGAGACCGCCTGAGCAAGGCCGGTACACGCTGTCAGAATCTGAGCTAGGGCCTCCTGAAGGCCTAGAATCACAATAGGCACAGGTGGTGCCTGAGCTGGTGCATCAACAACTGGAATCTGGTCCTGATCTGGGGCAACTGGTGGATCTGCAGGTACTGCCCCAGCTGCAGTGCGGGCTGAACCTCTGCCCCTACCACGGCCTCTACCGCGGCCTCGTCCTCTCGCAGCCCTGGCAAGTGGTACTGGTGGCTGGCCCTCCTAACCGGTAGTACGAGTCCTCACCATCTGTGAGAGAATGAAACAACGAATGTTTAGTTACTAGAATCAACAGATTCGTATGATAAGAATTCAAGAATGTGGAGTTTCCTAAGGGTTCCGCAACCTTTTGAAGATAAGTGCAGACGTCTCCGTACCGATCCGTAAGACTCTACTAAAAACGCTCATGACTCGTGAGACCTATGTAACCTAGGCTCTAATACCAACTTGTCACGACCCAAACCAGCCCTTTCGTGATGGCGCCTATCGTGCAACTAGGCAATCCGACTCATTTCCAAAACAAACCGATATTATCATTTTCAAAGATAACTTTCAGCTATTTAACAATAAAACTTCGTAAGAAATTCAAATTGAACAAAAGTGCAGAAAAGAAAAGAGCATCTATTATAATTTTTCTGACAATATCGAGACTAACATAGTCTGGAAAATAGGTAAATACAACTAAAGGAAGATAAGAGGGAGAAGAGCAGGGCTGCGATCGCCAGGCAACTACCTTGCTATCCCCGAGAAAATCTTCAACCGGAATAGTCAACAGCCGCTACTGTGTCCAGCTACACCTGGATCTGCACACAAGATGCAAGGAGTAACGTGATTACGCTAACTCAGTAAGTAACAACAGTAAATAAAGACTGAGTAGTAGTGACGAGCAATAAAGCATATAAAGTTTATATCATGAAATCTCGGTAAAATACAACATGCTTTAAAAATCAGTGTTTGAAGCAAATCATCTCGTTAAAACCCAGTTTCAGTAAAAATCATTTAAAGATATATTTTTTTCAACAGTTCTTTTTCAAACAAAGGCTCAATGCAAAGGTGAGAAAAATGATGAAATCATAATCAGCCCCTCGGGCAACATCACTCGTATACAGCCCCTTGGGCAAACCTCACAATCACTCGTATACAGCCTCTCGGGCATACCTCACAATCATGCATGTCTCTCGGTAATATCTCCCAATCACTCATGCCTCCCAGTTACTCAGCACTCGGCACTCGGCACTTGGCACTCGGCACTCTCACTTTGTAGGTACTTGCGCTCACTAGGCATATGTACAGACTTCGGAGGGGCTCCTTCAGCCCAAGCGCTATATCAAGCCAAATCATGGCATAAATCAATTAGGCCCTCGGCCTATATCAAACATGTTGCAGCGTGCATCCCGATCCCATAAATATCCTCACAAATCAGGCCCTCGGCCTCACCCAGTCATAAAACCTCCCATGCAACTCGGGCTCTCAGTAAAAATAGGGTACTCAGCCCAAAACAACATTTTATATGCATCAAAACAGAGTAATAAAACTGAGTTATGCAGTAAACAGGTATAACCATGATTGAGTATAGA